AATTTTCCGAACGCAAACAAAAGATTTTCTGTTTCCATTAGCACTGACGAAAAATTCGAATTTGACCATATATTTCAATGCGATTTCTGAATGCAACCCGCTTATTCGATGTTTCATAATCGCATGAAATGATTTTTTAAATCAGATATTTTGAGTAACCTTCCTGAGCGAGTCAATTATTAATTTAAAGCCCTTATCTCACCTCTCACACTTGGGCTCCGCTAGCTTCCGGGAATCTCGACAGGTATCGTCAGTTTCATGAGCGCAACAATTGTCCATGTTGATGAACCAGCACTTTTACTTTTGTTTCATATGAGGAAGTCAATTGCTTTCGAATAAAATGCAACGATAATCCCCTTACTATCAGAGGTTGATGGTTTCTGAACAAAATTTTGTAGTTCGTTACTCTTGCAAGCACGTAACTGAACTGAAGCAGCTGTGTTTGATAGATAAATGCAAATTTGCAATGGTATAGTGGATCTTCGAATTTCGTTGCAGTGCTGTGCTTATAAAGTAGCTGTAGAGTGAAAAAAATGATCGGTAACCATCAAAATTTAACAATTTCAAAAGTGATTTATATTATTAGGCGATTGAAATCCGTAAAGTATTTTTGAAGAAGGCTATCGATGTGAGTTTATGACCTAGGTATCGTTAAAAGACAATGCAATAGTGATTTCAAGTAGCGCAATAAAACAATCGAATTTATCTGATCAAATTAAGATTGGCATTTTTCAGTCATTAAATAGGGATGCAAAAAAACCGACATATCGTCTGTTTTTAACAGGCGGAATATGAGCGGCCACGAAACCGTTTTGTAACTTAGAACTGGGCAAATGGTTTAACGTAGTCTATCCCTCCAGAGACTGTTGATTTACTTTTCTGAACAATAGTGAAATGACGGCTGCTGCTCTAAAGATGAGAAGAATGCACATAAATTCAATCGAGAGAAGATTCGATTTTGTTCTTTGTTCAATGACTGAAATTTTTCGATTCAATTTTGATTACACCGAAGGTTCAATCGGAAGATTTTCAACTGCATAGATTTGATTTGGGATAATTCATTGAATATTACGCTGATGAAAAACTCCGAAATGGATGTGTCAAAGCTGGCACTAAGCTTCCACGTCAAATTATCGTCTCACATTCGAGCACTGCCAACATCACGACACTTGTTAAATGAAAATCAGCAATAACGTGTTAGATTCATTGGCTGAAAGCTTCGAATTCTCAATCAAAGATGAATTGATATACATCAGTGAAGTATGCACAGCGATTAGAATAATCATAGAATGCAGCGAGTCAAACTGAAACGATCTGCTGACCCGATCATGTTGAAACATTGTCATAGGGTGGTGGGTCCATATTTGTGATATGATTGATTAAGTAGACACCTTTTATAATGAAATATTAACATTACTGATGATGGATTACGACTCTGATAAAACTGACTGAAACAATGGTCTTTCCGTTGTTCTTTCCAAAAAATGTGAGACTGACATCTCGCAACTGAGATCGACGTTAATGGATCAGCGAAATGAATTGTTCTACTTTACGTATCATTCGCTTCAATAGACTTTATGAAAAATCATAATCAAATATGCATTCGTGACAAAAACTGCATCACTTTTCAGAAAACAGCGAACACCATTAGAAATGAATGATTTAGGTTGAAAGTTATTCATTTTAAATGACCAACTTGCGACCAAAAATATCAATCATACAGTAATATATCGCTCAAAATCTTTCAATTGCACAATTTTTATTTGTGAGTTGTTGATAGTCAATTTGTTGAAACTAATCAAGCACCTTCAGCATCATTTGATATTGAAAAACTGATTCGAATTTTAATTTCCCATTCAATGTCCGATTTCTCTTTAACAAATTGAATTCTGTGTTTCTAATCGACGTCAACATTTACGTTTAAATGCACGATTATTTGGAAAGTAGCATGTTTTTTTGAAAAGTAGCATGTTGTTTTTGACAAATACTCAATATTGAACTCAACATTTTCATCTATGCCAACACAACTTTACTCTTTACTTTCGTTATGGCATCATCTTTCAGAATTTAGCATCAGTTATTCAATTACATTCTATACGGTACCTTCTATTTATGCGATTGACATACCACCGTATTTTTTTCTTTTATATATTTTAGCATTACGCATCAAAATTTTACTGCAACAATTTTTTTACAGTTTAATCAGGACGGTTGTCATGAAACGTTCGCTCAACAACTACTTAATCTGGCATTCAGAAAACGACCATTTGTGAATGCTTTATGACAACGCTTAAAAACACCAAACGAACACTGCCATGAAAAATGCTACCGTGCAAATAACTTACTGCAAATTGTAATCATTAAACTCGCATAGGCCATAGCATCCCACTCATTTCAACGAGAACGGGATCATGAAAAGTAAGGCGAAACCAAATCCGTACTAATTTTAAGTCAGTTATTTGTTCAATTTCACTTGGTTCAATAGTAAGCGATAGGGTTTGCACGGGATCCCGGGATCCCGAGATTTCAATTCTGATCCCGATCTCGGGGTTTAAGTTTTGAAAAATCCCGGGATTTCGGGATTTGATAAAGCAAGTCAATTTGCATGAATTCTGATAGTATGCTTATCTTGAAGCAAGCCTTAATCATTCCCATTTCATTCATATGCAGCCACTTTTGTTGTTTGCCCTCTATCATTGATGAATAGCTGAGGAAATAGACGCAAATTGGACGAATGATATGATCAACGACAGCTTAATGAATTTTTACGTAACATTTCATTGAATATTCAATTGATTATTCTGCTCTTCATTGCTTTATATCACGCTCATCTGGATGCATTTCTAAGTAGAATAACACAGATAATCACATTTTCTAATAAGAACCAAGAGCAACAAAGTTCAACGAAATTTTGAGTCGTTTCCTCTAATGCGATTTTTTCGGCTTCAATACTCCATCTGTCAATTCAACTGTATGTTCTAAAGACTGCAAGCCTTTTTACTTTGCTATTTGGAAACATTTTCATCCGATCGAAATGTACATT